AGTCTAAGATGCCCACGACGCTGAAGCCAAGCAGCAGTCAACATTCGAGCATCGCAAACCTGACGCTCTAAACATTTCATCTCATTTCCCTCAGGCAGAAAATGTCGGGGCGCATGGCGCAGCGGATGGTCGGAGCTCCCAACCCATGTTTCGATGTCATAGCGCCTTTTTCGATTTCCGTAGGTGCCCGGACATCGCAGAAGACCCAACCCATGTTTCGATGTCACGACGTCCGTAGGCAATATCCCACTACTCTCCAGTCCAAAGACCTGCAGATCCCCCCCCCCGTCCAGGTATCTGAGGAGACATCCCTGTGCCCAGGAAACATCATGGGAAATCTACAAGTCCGATGTTTTTTCGGGGACTCTTTTGAAGGCTTCGAAGGCTGACCCGCAACAAGCGCGTGGTCGCAAGACGCGCAGGTGATTGGGATGGCAGCTTGCTGGGAACATCAGCTCAAACGACGGACGGCGGACCGGGACGGACGGACGGACGTAGATCGTCCAGGTATATGATGAGGCATCCCTGTGCCAAGGAGCCATCTGTGAAATCTACAAGTCTGTTAATCTTCTTCGGGGACTCTTTTGAAGGCTTCGAAGGCTGACCCGCAACAAGCGCGTGGACGCAAGAATGGTGTGAACATCAGCTCAAACGACGGACGGCGGTCCGGGACGGACGGACGGACGGAACCCGAAGACCTGCAGATCGTCCAGCTATCTGAAGAGGCATCCCTGTGCCAAGGAGCCATCTGGGAAATCTACAAGGCTGTTAAGGCTCTGCGGGGACTCTTTTCAAGGCTTCGAAGGCTGACCCGCAACAAGCGCGTGGTCGCAAGAATGGTGGGATGGACGGACGGACGAAACCCGAAGACCTGCAGATCGTCCAGGTATCTGAGGAGACATCCCTGTGCCCAGGAAACATCATGGGAAATCTACAAGTCCGAAGTTTTTTTCGGGGACTGTTTTGAAGGCTTCGAAGCCTGACCCGCAACAAGCGCGTGGTCGCAAGACGCGCAGGTGATTGGGATGGCAGCTTGCTGAGAACATCAGCTTAAACGACCGACGGCGGACCGGGACGGACGGACGGAACGGACAGAACGGACGGAAGGAAGGCGGAACCTTGGGACCTTGTGCACAACCCTCACCCAGCCAAGAACAAGAGCCATCTGGCCAGATGGACATCCAAAGCTCACGATGCAAGCCATGCAAGCAAAGTGGTTTGAGTCTGCCGCTTTGGAGCCTGAACAGCATGCGGCAAGCCACGGAAGCCATGGAGTTCTTTGAGCAAAAAGGTGCTCAAGGCCAAGACTCGACCGGATCGGGTCCGAAACTCCACAAGGCACACCTCCAAACATCCTTATGATAACCTCCATAGTAGGACAAAGCTGACCAGACTGATATCTTTGGCAAGAGCCATGTTCGCCGACCATGAGGCAAACAAACGGACGGCCAGACGGACGGCCAAGCTGAACTGGACGTCTCACACAAGGCACTGGCCACGTCACGATGACATAAGTCGATGCAAGTGACACAAGTCACTCAGACTCGGAGCCGTTGGGAGTGAGCGAAAGCCGGCCACTCTTCCGGCCTTCCTTCTCTTCTGTCATTCCCAAGATTGCAATCTCAGAAGCCACAGACACGAGCTTCCATGGGTCGGGGAGGAGGGGGAAGCTGTTTGGGACCAGGGTGCACACCCTGCAAAGGCCTGAACTATGTCGGCAAATCTGGTCAGGAATCATGAATGCCCTGAGACTTGCCCCGTTGCAACTGCTTGCGCGGGAACCCCTGAACAGAATGGAAATCATTCTACACTATCTATCCAAGCGTCCTTCTTGAAGCCGCAGCCGAGCGAATCACCGAAAGTTCGCACGCGAACTCCAGCCTGCAAGATCCAGGCCTCTTCCCACCCTTCACCTTCGCCGCCCTCTCGGCTTGCAAGGCGCCGCAACTGCAAGGGCAAGCAGCGAGCGGCCGCAGCGCGCTTGCCGCGCGACAACAGGGGCACAATCAGGAGAAGGCTGTGACACAACAGCTCCGCCTGCCTTTGCCTCGAATGCCTAGATGACCTCACCTCTGTTCAAGCCCGAGCCAGAGGGTGTGGCAAGGTCAAAGCCCGCGCAACGCCTGCAGAAGCCGGCCTCATGCTAGGAAGGGTTATGGTGCGAAGGCGCAGGTGTCCTGGCAGAAGGACATTCCAAAGCTCGGCGGAGCCTTCGAGCCCTTGTGCTGCGCACATTTGCGCAGAGTGACATTCATGACAACCCTTTAGCCCGAAGCCTCACATCTGCCTGTCCACACCTGCTTTCTCCCAATTTGTGCGGCTTACATGCAAGTGTTCAGTTGAGTTGACGAGCGATTCATACCAGCGATTGCATTACGGCAATGGCCGCTAGATTGAGTACCCGGGGAACGGCGCTAGAACGAGCGCCGAATTATCACTCGGTCCAGGAGCCCGCCACGGGCGATGTGCAGCCCTGCGGTGATAGTGGAGGACGAGGCTATCGCTACCGGCGCCACCGGTAAGAAGTTGGTCATCCACGATGCTAGCCATGGGGTTCGGGTGAACAACCGGATCCAGTGCCGGGACAAGATCCGGGCCCCAGGGGCCAGAAACAACAAGGTCCTCCTTCGAGAGCTGCGGGTGATTTCCTTCGCTATTCATTGAGATCCTTACGTGACGGTCTGTGCCTAGAAGCCTTTGCTGATGTGGAGTTCACCCTACGACTAAGGTCTGTGGTTGAAACGTAGACATGCATGTGGCTTCAACGCCTCACGCAGGCCTGCATCCTTTGCTTTTGGAAAGCGCCTGTGACCGCCTGTGAAGGCGCAGCTCAGCTTAGCAGGCCCAAAATTTTGAGTATCTCAGTAACGCGCGAGCCGTTTCTTTTCGTGGAACTTATTGATCTTATCAGATCTGAAAAGCCTGCTGGATTCGGATGCATACCAGGGCTTAGAGAAGCTGTTTTCAAGGATGCTTTCTGGATCGGGCTACTTGGGGGCAGATGGAGGTCGGGCTGGAGCATCACAACCCCAAGCCTGCCTGGGAGAACGGCAGGGAGCTGCTAAGGGCTGAGATGCACAAACTGACGAGCAGCAACTTCAACTAAACCTCTCACCTTCCCCAGACATCCAAACTCTCAGAGGTGCCCTGGCCGGAGCGGACCGGAGCTGTTCTTCGAGCCTTCAAGGGATCCTCCAGCATCTGTGGGGTGGCGCTTTTCATGGCACCGCGCCGGCGCACGAGCAAGTGCTCCTGCGAGGCTTTGGCATCGTCAACGTCCGCTTTGCGCTTGACCTGGGCGACTCACAAAAATCAAGAGTCCACAAGGACTTATGCCTTACACGCGGCCACGCCAGCCCTTACCGATGATGCTGACCTGTGTGCGCATGCATCCAAGCCTCTCTGTGCATACATACCCTGCCGACATCAACGTAAGATATTTCAACATGACAACAAAACAAAGCAGCACCCTGACCGCACAAGCCAGAAGCAGGGACCCTCAAACTTGACGCGCACGGCCGAATCGAGTGGATGATGCGGTTGCGATCCGTGATTTCGTTTCGGGCTCTTGGGTTTTCTGGTTGCGTTTTTTTGGTTTGCGGGTTGGGTTTGGCCCTCGGTTCTGCAGAGTCCGGCCGATAACCCAGCCAGCAGTCTAAGTCAGCGGAGGTACGCAGAGGCGTCGATGACAGATCAATGCCGTCAGCTGGGCCTCGACTGAGCGTAAGCCAAGGCTCTGCAAAGGTTCTTCAAGCTTCGTGAGTGAACATATTGTTCAAAAGCTTCTGCAAAGTATAGAAGCCTTCAGTCGAAAGAAACTACAATGACCCCAAGCCATCCTCAAAGCATATAAGCAAGCCTTCGTGGTTCACAAGCCGGGCCAAGCTTCGGCCCAGAGACATCATTTACTCCAGGCTACCGGCATGCTAAGGCAAGGGCGGAGGAAACAGGTCGCATCCTCGGCACAACATGTTGACCGAGCACAGGCAGTTTGAAACCTTGAGGCGCTCATCTGCTGGTCCGAACATTCCAGAAACGGTCATTCTAGCCTCAATGCCGAAGATGCTGCCGAAGTGCATGCTCGGGGCAGATGGTTCCATGCCGGTCACAGAATGGCTGGAATGAGCAAAACCCTCCAGGTTTGAACCCCAATGGCTAATGCGACGCGAGACTCGCACAGCACTCAAAATAACCACGGCTCAGCTCCTGTGGACTGCCAGAAATCATACCTCAAAACCCGACCGCAAGACCCGTGCACTGACAGCGTCTCAGAATCCCAGCATCAACCTTTCAGCTGCCTGAAGCGATCCGCAGCAAGCCGCCCTTTTTGCATGAGCCCGGAAAGGAGCAAGTCGCGGCATTGAGCCGTACAAAGCGCGCGGGAAGCAGACAGTCCTCGGCAAAGCAACAGAATGTCATGTTTGCAGTCGAAAGTTCGAGAAGTAGAGATTACTTCGACATGCTGATTCAGTGAAACCTTCTATTCGCAACGGCCAGCTAACTGCAACTTTGGCTGCTGATGAGCTTCGCTCATTGCAGTTTTAGGATACTGGGAGTGTTTTGACAACTGCGCATGTTATGTAAGCATTTGTTTTAAGATGGTCGCCTCTTTAGCCGGGCGCGGCGCGTGGAGCGGCGCGGTAACCGCTTGAGAAGTAGCGCCCCTTCGGGGCGCCGCCGCAGGCGGCGCCCCCTGAGGCGCATCGCTCGGCCAGAAACCAACGAAAACGGTCGCCGCTTGAGACGCCGCGGCAATACAGGCGCAGCGCCCGGAGAAGTGCTACCGCTTGAGGCGCCGCGCAAAATAAAGGGATCCGCGTGAGGTCTCCAGAAGCAAGCAAATAGCAGCACCCTACAGCTTCATTGGTTGCAGTTGCAGAAACCCACCTCGCCAAATACCCCACGTCAACACCGAACCCCGAAACTGAACCCCGAAGCCTCCAAGCTTTAAACTCGCAAGCACACATCGAGACATCATTTCTGCGAGATTCCCGGGCGCTTCACTCGTCATCGTCGAACAACAAACTGCACTGGGATTCGCCGGCATCCAGTTCCCTATCACTGTCCGCCAACAATCCCACCCCAGCATCAGGAGCAAGCCGCTTTTTGGGCTGCTCGCACTGCTCTGCGACTTTCAAATATTCGGCTAGCGTTGACCAAGAAGCACGCCCAGGGTCGTCACGCTCCTTCTTTCGAAGTGAGCCGACGACTCGAAACATGTCGCTGCCGGACATCCAAAACTTACACTGAAAGGCACGAACGCGATGATGGAGGCCCTGCTCCAAAGCATCAGCTTGCTTTGGAGTGGGTCCAGTAGTGTTGAAGGGCTGCCGCCCCACGTCTCGGCGGAAGCTGGCAAAAAAGCCATCCAGCTTCTGCGTGCCGCCGATGCGCGTCTCAACCTCCCAATCGTCATCAATACCCTGCCACACAGGCACGTCAAACGGCTTGGTAAACTCCGGTTTTGGAGGTTTGTGCTTGACATTGGTGTGGGCAAGCTTCAGACCCTTGAGCTCCTTCGCGTTGCAGAAGGAGCCATCGAAAAGGGGGCCATCCTCGACGCCCAGCTGCTTGTACGCACGGGCCGAATCCGTGTGGCAAACACTACCAGCGCCAAGTCGAAAAGAACCATCATCACGACGCAAGACCGATGCCAGCTCCTGCAGGGCATAGGATAAAGTAGGTTTGATGTGTACCTCACATTGAATGCTCCCAAAAGAAAAATCCTTGCTAACGCGATACGGGAGTTGTGCAAGGAAAACTTTGGAACTTCCTCTGCGTACCATGGCGAAGTAGCGCACCCAGAGCACACAGTTGTCCAACGTTTTGGATCGGAAACAGATCTCATCCATTTCCACATCCTGGCCTTGCCCTCCGATCAGCAACTCGTCGTTGAGCTGGTCCACCAATGGTGAAAGCCATGATCGGAATTGGTCAAACAAGTCCCGCATGACTCGGTTGTCCACTCCAAGAACCAAGCCTCCCTTATCTGGCGAAACATTCAGTGGGGAACACCAAAGCCACAAAGCACCAAAAAGGGAGCGCTTCTGGGAGAAGATATCACGATCACGCGCCACCACACTTTCTGTCTTGCGACAGCTGCAACGATACTGGCAATGGTTGTTCCTGGCCTCGATCTTCCACTTCTGTTTTCCACAAGAGCAAACTGTCTCTTGTCTTTCATTTGTAAGAATTCCTGTCTCCAAACCGATCTCTGTGAGCTCGACTGGAGTGCTGGTCAGAATCGCTTTTTGACCAGGACTGCAATCACGTGGCTGCGTATTAGGTCGTTTGCAACCTTAAACACGTTCTTTCTCCTTGTTCTGAAAATGAAGAGTCAAATCATCTGTTGAATTGAAAAAGCACCAACACTCTGTGTTAACTTCACCCGTCTCTGCCTCCTTGGAAAGTCGAGGCTCACTTTTCGCCTTAGCTTTGACAGCAGGCTTTGGACAGGGGTTGTTTCGGACTCTTCTGTCGCATCCTGCTGTTCCCATTGTCACACGCCCGCCGGACCATCTTGCTGCCATTGCAGCAGTTTGTGCCAGAAATGAGAAAAAACACTAAAATCAAGCCAAATGCTGTAAAGCATAATCCAATCATTCACAAGACAATTGCTAATGCACAACTTGTCTGGTCTGCCAATGTCAGAAAAAGTCAAATCTTGTTGGTGCACAAATCGAGAAGTGTACCATTTCGAGCTGAGAGGAAGAGCATGGCCCCTGCGAAGGATGACATCGCGGCATTGGGGCTCAAGACACGCAAAATCGAGAAGTGTCTCTGGAGAGTTGGGGGATGGTTTTTTCCTTCAGGGTTTTGGATCTACCGCGGAGTGCACTGCTACCCTATGCATCATGGATAGCTACGATTCTCTAGACGACGTGCCTTTGCAACTACGTAGATTTCATGGCAGCCCTACTCCGACTCACTATTCTATGATAACCAACACCCCATCCCCTAATCTTCACCATCAGGTGATGAGCCCAAACCCCCTAATGAGCACTCCCGGCACCGCATCTTCCCCAGCAACAGCAACCACACCTACTGCAGCAGCAGAGCATCAGCAGCTTGGAGGTGGTTGGGTGACTATGAGGACGATGTCCCAGGTCCAGTTGCCCGGCGAACTTCTTCGGTCTTTTGCAACTAGTATCTCCGATGACATTTCCTTTGCAGCTGACATTCAGGCAGCCCTGGTGGAGTTGGCATCCAGGATACAGTTTAGAACAGAGACCTTGGGAACAGCTTTGGGAGAAGTGGGTACAGTGGTGCAGAGTTTGCAGAGTGGCTACAGTCAGGTGGCTCGTGGTTTGGAGCAAGTCCATACCGATCTGCAACGCCAACAAGAAATTGTTGCATCTTTGGTGGAAGCCCGAGATGCGAACCGGTTTGAGCTTGATCAACTCAAGGCCGACCTACAGCAGTATCTTGAAAGGAGAGATCAGGAGAATTTGGAGGTGCACCAAAAGTTAGATGACTCTTTGCAGAGAGAGGCAGCGTTTTTGGCAACGGTGGAAACTTTGTCGGGAAAGGTTGTCCAGCTTGAGGAGTCCATGAAGCACTTAGCCCGAAATGTGCATGAGCATCGACGACAGCTTGACGAACATGCAACCATTGTGTATGCCCCCTTGGAGGATTCCGCGGGCGATACGACCACTGCTCAGGCGGTGAGAAGGTTGTCAGAGCGGGTAGATCGTGAGCTGGATGCTTTGAGGAACTCATCAGAACAGCAAGGTGTAAGCCTGCAACTTCTACAGCAGAAATGCTTGGAAGTCACTGGTCGAGTGGACGAATGGGACGATCAGAACGCAGATCTAGAAATGCCTGGAGAGGGTAATGAGGATCATGCCAGTCCTACGTTTGGCACAGCAACGAGAAGGGCTACAACTTACTATGAACTCACCCCTGAGGCCTCAAATCAGCAGATGTCAGCGGTTGCAGAGGCCAAGGACAGGGAACAATCATGGTGGAACAATGATTGGGAGTTTGGTGAGTATGTGGCCTCAAATGTATGGGGGCTAACAGAGCCGCCCCCAGGTTTAGCAGAACCGTCACGCTCGACTGGACCGACAGGCCTGCAAGGTGTGACGAGTGGAAAATCAGAAGGCCAACCAATCCATCATGGTCGTTGGAAGCTCTTGAATGACATTCCCCCGTTTGCTGCAGGCGGTGGAGAACCTTGGGAGACAAATATGCGATTAAAGACGTGGTGGCGCCAGGTCGAAACGGTAGCAGAGACTGTGGATCCAAGGTTTGGACTATATGTAGCAAGGCAGCTTGGTGAAGCAGAGAGACGTCATCAACTACGCCTGGAAGGACAGTTCGAGTTGGAGGACCCTAAGCCTGTGGCGCCAACAGACAAAGAGATGGAGAGTAGACTTACGCTCCTTCTCATTCGGTGCCTCCCCACAGAACTCAAACAGCCCGTCCTGGAGAACATGAATCAGCAGACCATACAAGCTTTAGAGCTCCTAGAGGGGATCCTCGAACAGCAGCAGCCTGGAGGACCGCAGGAAATGAAATCCCTGCAGGGGTTCATTCGACATATGGATCCCGCACCAACAGCTAGAGAAGCACAGGAATCCTTGAGGAGGTGGAAGCTGGCACGCACAAGAGCAGGTACTCTGGGGTTGCCTGGAATAGCCCCCTATGAGGAGCTGCAGGCGTTGAGTTCCTTGGTGAAAACGTTGGAACGCCGCAGTGACACATTCCGCACACTGCTGGGCTTGCTACGAACTCGTCCGGAGATCATACGACCTACGCCGGAAGGAGTCAGCAAGATGGTGCAGCTGGTGGAACAACAACTACAAATACTATGTGCGGAAGAAGTGGTGCGTCGGAACCGCAAAGAGGGCGAGGATACCAGCCAAGCTTACAAAGGAAAGGGCAAGGGTAAGAAAGGCAAAGGTAAGGAGGAGAAGCTTGGAAAGGGCAACAAGAGCGATGCCAAGGGCAAGCAAGGAAAATCAAGTGACGCGGCGAAACAATCTGGGAAAGATGGTGGAGCAGATGTGCGGAAAACTATGCCATGCCACTATTTTTGGACCGATGCCGGATGCACTAGACAATCTTGTCCGTTTTCCCACGATGAGAAGCACCGACCAAAACAGCCAAGTACATCCGCTTCCCGCGCGCAGGCCTTGATTGGAGCAGAGGGTCAAGATGGCAGGGCTGCTCAGGCCGAAAAACCCAAAGCCAAGGCAAAGGCTAGAGCAAAGGCCTCATCAGTGATTTCGGTTGCAAGGATGGCAAGAAGCATAGAGGGCCTATCAGAGGGTTCAAGTGGCAGAAGTGAAGGTGAAGCTTCCTTACTGTCAGAGATATCGGCAGAGGCTGTAGACTCTGAAGGCTCCACGCGAAGCATCCAATCAAGCGAGGCCGAGCAAGATGATCTTCATGATGCCATGATCGAAGCAATTATGGCTGCGCAGATGGAAAGGGAAGACCTCGGCTACTTGGTTCTTGATGCCGATGAGTACATTCGTTGGAGTCAACCAGGGGTGATTCAAAGCCGGGCCAACAGACAATGGACGCTGGTGGATATGGGGCCAAATGCTACTCCGAACGTGGCCGTAGCAATATGGATGGTCCTAAGGCATGAAGAGTTTGAAACTCCCATGACTGACGTGAGCATTTCACCTACGCAACAAATCCTCAACATTACTCAAATCTTGATCATGTGCGCAGATGGTGTGGTTCGAGAGGCATACCTGGCATGGTGCGTCGACCTAGAGAGTGGGAATGAAGTCTTTATGGCTGTGACCCGCTACAGTTACAATCCATGGGTTAGACCATATCTTGATCCACCGGAACCAAAGTCACAGACAGCTCCTCCCAGGAGGCCTACAGCGAATCGAGCAACAGTGGATGAACATGGCGGAGATTGCGTTCTACTTGATACAGGGGCAAACGAAATAGTACGCATGGGTTGCGGACCAAAGCCTGCAAGGTCAAGGCTATCGCCGCTTCAGCTGGCTGATGGAAGCCAGGTGGAGGCTTGGAGGACAAGGGATGGAGACATCTACATCGAGTCCAATGAGGGCACCGCAACTTTGTGTGGAGTTTGTAGGTTGATTTCAGTTGGGGCCTCTTTCCTATGGAACAAAGAAGGAGCACACTTGCAGATGCCGGAAATTCTGGGTGGAGACTGGATACAGCTACAAATTCAGAATGGGTTGCCCTATTTGAGGTGGGAACACTTTCGACGTTTAAGACCCTTATTGTCACGAAACTACAAGTCTTGCTGTTCCATGGCGCAGGGAAATGCGGAACCACAATCCCGAGAAGTGGTGGCGTGGACCAACCTAGAAGACTTCATCGTCGAACAGGAGAAGACTGCAGAGGTGAACGCGTTGTTGTCTTGCGATGGTGAGGAGTTTGCTAGACAGCTGGTGGAGGAAGACCGAGCAGTGACCTTGGAAGAGGTCAATAAGGCGTTGAAGGAAGCGCAACTCCCTGCTGTGAAAACAAATCGCATGAACAAGGTTTCGAACGAGGAGAAGATGTTGGATTTGTGGGTGTTTGGCAGCTGGAAAAGAGGAGGCCTAGGAGGAGTCACTCGAGTGACAAAGGCAAGACCTTGGTTGACCAAGGTCCTTACAAACTTCATGAGACAGAAGACAGATGAACCCTTCATGGCCATCACCGTGTCTCAGGACGTGATCTTCAAACCGCACAAGGATCCGAACGATTGCACGTTTGCAACCACGTTAATCGGCATGACCACCTACGAGGGAGGCGAATTATGGATAGAACAACCTGAGACCCAGTCAGAAAATTCGAAGGCTGTTTGGAGAACGGTGAAGGAAGGAGAACCTCCTCGACCAGGAAAGTTGCATCCAACCGCAAATGGACGAGTGGTACAGTTTTTCGGAAATCAACTTCATGGGACTGAAGATTACCGTGGTGGGACAAGGCGTGTCATGATTGGATATATTCCGCGTGGCTGGAGGAGGCTCCAAGCTGATGACATGAACGTTCTCAGATCTCTTGGTTTTCGCATCCCGGGAAGCTCGTTACGACCAACAAGTGAACCGCAGCAGCAGGCAGACCTCCAATCGCAAGCGCAGATTTCCATCACCCAGCTCAACCACAACCACACCTCCAAGCCCGAACTATTAAGCCCTATTGCTATTGGGGGTCTTGAGGAGGAGAAAGGTTTTGGTTGTGAGGGACATGAGGAATTTTGGGAAGATGTTTGCAAGGTTCAGGATGAGACTAGGATGGGTCATGGAGATAGTGAACGGGATTTGTTGGGTTGGGACATTCAGGGATGTAACGAGAGGGCACAGACGCGTGAAGTCTCTGACCTGACGGCAGAGCAAGCCATGGCTTTTCTGGCAGAACCGGAAGTCGGTCCTTTCACTTGACTTGACAGGACCACACATCGCAAGCATGGAGGGATTCCGATATGCTCTGATAGGAGTTTACACTTTGAATTCTGGCGAGGCTTTGTTGTATTCTGTTGGATTGAAAACGAAAACAGCAGAGGAAACCGCAGCAGCTACAATACAGATCATCGC